ATTTATTAGATGATGGCGGAGAGGACGGCGGAGATGGAGAAGCAGTGGCGGGTATTATAGCTATTCATGACTATTGACTATATTATTATCTATGTTATTATGCACCTACTAGTATTAGGATTTTCCGAGCTATTATTGTTGTAATTTTACAGTCGAAAATTGACTGACGTTTACGATTATTATCTGCTCTCTAAATATATTAAATTACCTCTGGTTTTGTAATTTTTGTATACATTTTAGTATAAGGTTTACGTTTTTTGATTTATAAATTATTGTACTATGTATATACCTAAGACTGATGTTTTTTTACTCATAACTTATAACACAATAAATCATGACGTATACATAATATTGCACCATATTTGGACTTCCCTTCAAGGATAAAAAGGGATTTGTCTTGGTTTTACCTTAAAACAAAAGAGAAGTTCAACATCGTTAAAAGCGAATAACTTCATTTTGACGAGAAATACAATATGATGATTATATAAAATATATTGCACATTCATTACTTAACACAATTACTTTAGTTTTTATTTATGAAATGTAGGTAAGTAAAAGAAACATAATTATTCATTCACAAAGGTTTGTGGGTAAAAGTATCCCATATGGTTGTACATACATAACCAGGTACCTACATAAACCCGCTAGCTTCTGACCCATTTGCCTAGTAGACCCTCCGGGTAAGTTGAGGTGGCCTGTGACAGATGAAGCACTTAGAAATAAGGACACTCGGGAGTACATAGTGCTCATGATTCGATCATGAGGGTCAGATAGGGAGTTGCTCGTTATAGAGGAAAGGACATCGAAGACTGTGACGTGTGAGGTTAACCAGGGCTCACTTCTTGGACCGACCCTGTGGGGATGTTGCATACGCTTATCTACTGGAAATGGAAGTTCCTCCGGGCGTCCAGCTGGTTGGCTTCGCCGACGATCTCGCGGTCGTCGAAGTCGCCAGGACGAACGAGATTCTGGAAAATCTGATGAATCCTGTCCTCGAGAGGATCGATGACTGGATGACAAGAAGAGTTCTAAAGCTAGCTCACCAGAAGACGGAGGCCGACATGCTGACGAAGAAGTGGACCTACAAAAATCCTCTGCTCGGCATAGGTGGAACTCACATCCAATCGAGCCAACACATAAGATATCTAGGGGTCATACTCGACTCGCGCCTTTCCTTCGTCAAACATGCAGAGACGATAGCAAAGAAGGCGTCCAAGTAGGCGATAGATCATAAAAAGTGTTTTTAAAAAAGTAAATTTACCACTAATTTTCATATTATTATATAAATTAAATATCATAAAAAGTGTTTGTTTTTTGATTCTGGATCGAACGTATGTATTGAATGAGTCTATATCCGTTCATTCAGACACAAGCTGATACGGAGAAAAATTTGCAAAACTACCATTATAACGAATCCAATGAGTCGTCGATGAGCTTAAATGGAAACGTTTGATTCCGAACAAAAAAAGACAGTTTAAGATAAGGTTTGCTGCATTTTTTGTTGAACACCCAATTGGGCCTTTCATCGAACTGATCACTTGAATGAAGTAATTGGGAAATGTTAACCAAATAAATTAACGTACAATTGCTAAGTTAAACAATAATTAGAGAAATGTTTTTCAGAAAACTTTCATTTTGGTTGTTCATGAAGTGCTGTGCAACGAATTTAAGCTACCGTCTGTAACTATTTAGTAGCTAATACATCACTGGCTCGAACATTTGTAATGAAAGAGTTTGTATCCGTTCATTCGGACCTAGGCTGATGACGATCAAACCAAATAAATTAACGTACAATTGCTACTTTAATCAATAATTAGAGACATTTTTTTCAGAAAAATTTAATTTTGGCTAATACATCTGTTGATGAAATTAATCATAAGTTTTTAGTAAGCTGTCACTAATTTTTTTCTTGCTACCTAGATTTTGGCTTAGTTGAAAAACAAAAAATGAAGAAGAACATGAATAAAAATAATTATATTATACAATATTATATTGTGAATATTATATCAAAAATGTTATTCATTTAAAAATATTGTTGTTTTTTATTTTTGGTATCAATTAGTTTGTAATTTTGTTATGATACAACCGTTAAATTGTTTTTATTTTAATGACCAAGTTATGATAGTATTATTACCTAAATATTTTTATATTATAATATTATGTTAGATCTTAATTTGTTGTATACAATATTAAGTTTTTAGTACATATTATTATAATACTATTATGAATTTTATCACCAAAGAAAATAAATTTATTTTATTTTATAATATTATAATTTTTGGTACAAAATGTTATAGTAAATTGTCAGTTATTTCTTTAGTATTATGAACAAGGTTTGTGAATATTTCAAAAATTGTATTCATTTAAAAAGTTTGTTGTTTTTATTTGGTATAATTTTTATAAGTATAGAATCCCCTTTAAAAGTAATTTTTTATTTGTTCTGAACATGAAATATTTAAAATTCTCATGCAAGTTTAATTAATTTTTATTAATTAACACTTTGTTTAATATAACTGTGTTATATAAATTAAAATGTAAGTCAAAGGGAATTATTACATTACACAGAGGTGGACTAACCATCAAACATTTTAGTAAGTTACTCATTTTTTAAAATTCTTCTTTGAAAACTTATTAACTTATAACAAAATATAATGAGTCTTTACAATCTATTTTATATAATCATCATGTATTTATTGTAAAATTGAAGTTATTCGCTTTTCACTATTTTAAACTTTTCTTTTGTTCATGATTTAATAGCAATTTTTTTTTTTTATATTTTTAGTTTCACTAATTTTTATCTAAGGCGCCCACACAGCCCTGACGCCTTCACCAACAAAATAGGTTCTTTTCGGAGATTGAATATGCAAGCTTATTCTATTTTTCATTAGCATTTTTTTTATCACTGAAATGTCATAAAACAACTTGAAAGTTATTTTTGGAGAATAAATGTATGTCTTTTTAACTATATAATATAAGCCATATACGGGCAAAAAAAATTGCTATTAAATCATGAACAAAAGAAAAGTTTAAAATAGTGAAAAGCGAATAACTTCAATTTTACAATAAATACATGATGATTATATAAAATAGATTGTAAAGACTCATTATATTTTGTTATAAGTTAATATAACCAAATCAAGGCTAATATTGACTTATAAAGAAAGAAGGATAACAGAAACTATATTTTATGCTCATTATGTGTTTATTTTAAATTTAATTTAAACTATTTAAAACATATAATTTCATGAATTAATAAAATCACGTATGATATAATAATGTTTTTAAAAAAGAGAAAGTATTTGTAAGATCTATTGGGGTTCACAATTGATGAACTCCAATTGTTTGAATTGTATCAATATAATTTTGAAATATTTCATTTTTTAGCAATGGCATGTAGTAAAATATTAATACCAACATACCAATTGACTTAATTAAAAATTGTTTGATGGGTATATTATATCAAAAAACATACTATAAACAAAATTAGTTATATATACAATTGATAAACTACTTGTTAAATATTCTTTACTACACATTTGATTATAAGCCTATTAACATTTGATAGCTTATACAACGTGTATCCTTATTAAATATTTTGTAGACATATAAAATGTATGTGTATTGTGTTCATTCAATTTGGCAATTATGAGCTTTGAGATTGTTAGATCGTGCCAGGGGCTCATACATATGCATTTATTGAATAATATAATATATAACTATTAAGAACTTGGCCATGATTGTTCAATGGCAAACTCACAGTTATCGTACACAATATTACACTTCACATGTATTTAGAACTTGGCCATGATTGTTCAATGGCAAACTCACAGTTATCGTACACAATATTACACTTCACGTGTATTTCATTATTGTGTATTTCATTATTTTGTATACCATTGTAAATGCAAAGGTGGTAGCAAAGAACAAGTAGCTATTAAAAGTATATACAACTAATGATTTATGTATTGATGTAATCAAATAAATATTCTAAAACGTTGAATTACAAACAAATATTTTAAATGTAATTAATGTAAAAATCTTTAATTCATAATTCAGACACAAAAGATATCATACGTTATTTTTTCCAATAATTAAATATGTTATTCATAATTATGATTCAGTAAAATGTGAACTTTTAAAATAACAAAGTAAACAAGCTTAAAATTATTATAATATTGTAACTTAAAGTAATAGTTTCCTCCATTCTTAAATAAAATAAAGAAACAAATTTATAATAAAGAAATTAAATGACAATGCTGATCTTAAAAGTACAAAGGCTGTTTTCTTATTGGGTTTTTATTATAAGAGTTTATTAAAGGTGCGAGATGGAAGAATATATGTTAGATCTTAATTTTTTGTATACAATATTAAATTTTTAGTACGTATTATTATATTACTATTATGAATTTTATCACCAAAGAAAACAAATTTATTTTATTTTATATTATTATAATTGTTGGTACAAAATTTTGTAGTAAATTGTCAGTTATTTCCTTAGTATTATGAACAAGGTTTGTGAATATTTCAAAAATTGTATTCATTTAAAAAGTTTGTTGTTTTTATTTGGTATAATTTTTATAAGTATAGAATTCCCTTTAAAAGTAATTTTTTATTCGTTCTGAACATGAAACATTTAAAATTCTCATGTAAATTTAATTAATTTTTATTAATTAACACCTTGTCTAATATAACTGTGTTATATAAATTAAAATGTAAGTCAAAGGGAATTATTACATTAAACACTCGGACTCTGGCATGAGCGAATGTAATGAAAGAGTCTGTATTCGTTCATTCAGACACAGGCTGATGACGATCAAACGTACAATTGCTATGTTAATCAATAATTAGAGAAATTTTTTTCAGAAAACTTTCATTTTGGTTGTCCATGAAAGCACTGTGCAACAAATTTAAGCTACAATTTAAGCTGTAAATACATAGTTGCTGAGGAGGAAGATCAGACCTACAATTTACGACCTAGAATTTGGCTAAGAAAGACAGATATGGATACTGTTAGACCAGAATATTGTAGACCTGAAGGAGTAAATATGATTGAAATTAGTAGATGCAACACCCCTACAGATGTATTTATGGTATTTATTGAATCAATTTTGAAAGATTTGGTTTATCAAACAAACTTATATGGCACACAGAAAAATAAAGCACTTAGAATACAGAGAGAAGATATGTTAGTATTCTTAGGTATTAACTTTTTGATGGGATATAACCGTTTACCGTCATATAAAGATTATTGGAGTACATCAGATGATCTTGGAGTTAAACTTGTGTCAAATGCTATGTCACGAGATATGTTAGAAAAAATTCTTATTCATCTACACTGCAATGACAGTACACTATTGCCTACAAACAACAAAGATAAACTGTTCAAAATAAGATCAATAATAGATTAACTTAATGAATCTTTCAAGCGTAATTATTTTGGTACTAGACAAGTTAGTATTGATGAAAGTATGGTCAAATTTAAGGGTAGGTCAACATTGAAGCAGTACAATTTAATGAAACCAGTCAAGAGAGGTTATACAATTTGGAGCCTAGCAGATCAAAAAGGATACATGTTAGCTTTCAAAATTTATTAAGGTAAAGAAGAAATTGTAAACCATAAGTTTGACAAATATGGACTAGATGAATGAGTGGTTTTGGAAATTACCAAATCAATTTGGAACGAACAACGAGAAATATACTTTGATAATTATTTTTCTTCACTACCTTTAGTGCAGAAACTAAAACTAGAGAACACTCTAGCTTGCTGAACAATAAGAACAAACAGAAAAGGGTTGCCTACAGACAATGTGTACAGACAATGTGTACAGACAAAAAATGAACAGAGGTGAACGTGATAAAAAGTTTTTACCAGATGGGATTTAATTTTGTAAGTGGATGGATAATAAGGCTGTCAACTTTATATCTAATTTTCATGGTTCTGAAGTTACATGTGTAAACAGGAAAGAAAAGGATGGTATTTCAGTTTCAGAAATATGTTCAACTGTGGTCTCAGATTACAATTCATACACTCAGAGAAATATCTTAAGTAGTTTCAACAAACTACATTTGTTAATCATTAATAAACCTACTTTTGTTGAAATAAAAAAACATATTATTGTCTCTGCAAACTTTTTGTGAATTTCATTATATTCTTAACTATTTCTACCAACTTATTTGTTAATCTATATAAACATTTATTTCAATTTTCTCCTACAAAAGTAATAACCATTTTATAATTGTAATGAACAATCTATACTAATTTAATAAACCTCCCAGTTATTTTATACGCCGTGTTTGTTAATATTATCCATATGCGTACTACAATATTAAATAATGTTATTTTTTTTTATAGAACGTATTTTCCATAAAAATTGACAGTTAAAATGTACAAACTGGTCGGTTATTTTAGTCAATATTTTATTGATAAAACATGTAAATTATTATTTGATGTTTATTAATATTGTATTGATAGACCATAGATATTTTATCCCCGGACGCTGCTGGTCTACTGTTAATTACTTAATCGTAATTATAATTTCCAGACAGTTAACGGTTTTTTAGTTTAGTTATTATAAGTCAAGTGTCGTGTATTTTATTTTGATTTGTATGATTTCATGACTCGATTTATATATAATATATATTAATTTAAGTATCTATACGTATATATTATTATATTGGTAGAACCAGAACGGCAGAACGTCTTCAAAAGGTACATACCTATAATTTGTATTATTATATCTACCTATCTACATATCTAAATATTTTAATCGTTTTTCTATAGGTTTCTCTTTTGAAAATTCTCATTTAAGACAATAATACCTAACCTATTGGTATATCTACTTCTTATACCTAATTAATAATTTGGTAATAATTAAAAATTAGTAATAAATAAATTATTATAATATATTAAATAATAAGTCAGTCAGGGCAATATTTAAATATGATTTGTTTTATATGTAAAACTAATTTCTAATTATTATCAACATTGGTGGTTCATTACAAAGTGATTCATATGTTAAAGCCTTCTAGTACATATGAATGTATTGAAGATCATTGTACCCAAGCATTTCCTAACTTAGATAGTTTAAAAAAACATGTCATACGAAAACACTTGAAAGATAATTCAACAAAATTAACACCTAACGTAAAAAACCTTATCAATAATACAACAATACCTGAAAATATTTTCAAAGTTACCAACCCTGCTTCAATTGAATCAGATGATGTATTTGAGTTTACAAATTTATTACCAGTTACTGAGCGAGGAACTGAACTTGATAATGAACATTTTACTATCGATAATGCTATTAATTTAGTATATCAATCAGCAATTAATTTTACAATGGCACTTCATAATAATAATAATTTTACTAGAAAAGATGTAGTAAATATTATACAAAAGGAAGTTTCACAAAGTCTGATTAATCCTATAGTGGATCTATTAACAAATTTTGTAAATTATAAAATCAATGATCCATTATTACTATCATAATTTCATACTATCATTTCTGCTTTTTCGACCCCTTTTAAATTGTGCAGTTCTGAATATATGTTAAATAAATGGTTAGCAAATAATAATCTATATTATAATATCCATCAATTCACTATTAACAATGAAATTAATTTAGTTTCTACTTTAGGTGAAACTAACTATAGTGAACAGGCTACAAAAGGTATTTTAATGCCAATAGATTTTCAATTTAAATCATTTTTTGAACATAATGATAACTTATTAAAAACTTTAACACATTACAATTATTTGAAAAAAACTTCTGATGGTACAGATTTGGCACATTTTATTCAGGGATGTTTATGGAAAGAAAAAATTTTTCCTTATAACAATAAACTTGTAATACCATATTTTTTATATATTGATGATTTTGAGGTTAACACTTTAACAACCCTTTAAGTTCTCATTCCTCTTGTCATTGCATTTGTGCAATTCATTATAGTTTCCCGTTAAGCGACCAATCTTCTAAGCTAACAAATATATTTATCGCAGCTTTACTAAAATCTGTTGATGTAAAAAATGTTGGCAATGATCTATGTTTAAAACAGTTGATTAATCAATTAAATAAACTTGAAGTTGATGGATTATTAATTAAAACATCAGAAAGAATTAAAAAAGTCTACTTTGTTTTAGGTTTAGTTGTAGGAGATAATTTAGGATTAAACTGTATACTAGAGTTTAGTAAATCTTTCTCTGCCAATTATTTTTGCAGATTTTGCAAAGAAAAAAATGTATTACACAAAAAGCATGTACAGAGAATGTGTTATTACTGCGTAACTATAAAAATTATAATAACGACATAAATACAAATGATTTCAAACAAACTGGGATTAATAAAGAACCAATTTTACACCAATTAACATCTTTCCATGCCACTAAAAACTACAGTATTGATCTAATGCATGATATTTATGAAGGAATCTGTCATTATAACATGTGTCACATCATCAAATATTACACAGATGATGTAAAAATATTCTCTTAACAAACTTTAAATCTAAGAAAGAAAAATTTTAATTATGGTTGTATTGAAATTGGTAATGTCTCACCTGATATTCAATCACACAATATACACAATTTCCACTTAAAAATGACTGCCAGAGAAATGATGACTTTTTTAGATTTTTTTCCCCCTAATGGTTGGTGATTTAGTCCCTAACGATAATCCAGTATGGTCATTTTTTTTAAATTTTTTGGAAATCGTAGATATTTTACTTTCAAACCAAATAAAAAATAATTGTTTACGGGTGAACATAGAGTTTTTTTTAGCTGAGAGTAGAATTATACGCTCACGAGTTTGATTACAGAAAAAGTTAAATCATAACCATAACCAATCAAGAAATATCAAATTTTTTAACAGTTAATTAACTTCAATAAAAATACATGAATGTATAATGTATTCAAAATTCTAATGGTACTGTATTGAAAATAAATACTCCAATATAAAACAATTTTTTAAGTAATTCTAGCATCTTATGGATATGCAAATTAACATAATATTAATGGATGATAATAGTAAAGCACATACTCAATAATGAAACAAGAAATAATTATGAAATACATAATTAATAATTTTCAATGTAAAACTAATAAAACTTTAAGACTAATGTGACATCATAATTCAAAATTCAAAGTTCTCCAAGAGCTCAAAGCTCTCCGTAGCTAATTTTTTAACACCGGTAGAACTCATTTACTTTACGATTATAATGATAAATATATTAATCATAACTTTAACTAAATATTGATTTAAATTTGATAAATATTAATTTTGTTAGTTTTTCAAGCCCAATTATTACAAAAATAAAAATATGTTAAAATTATAGGCTACTCCTGAAAACATTAATGTGATTGTATTGGAGCCAGAAAACGAATTTTAATTTCCATTTAAATTATAATTTGTTTAAATAATTTCAAACATCACAAATAAATAATCTTATTGAGGTATAGTAATTTCACATAAATATAGTAAATGAATTATGAATAATATAAAAACATATTTGCAATCTTGAATAGGTCATAATTCATTAGTTTTAATCAGAAGTTTAAAATAAAAGCATCAATATATGACAAGCACCGCAATAGACGAATGTTAATTTTAACCGTAACGGAGGCCCGCTTATATCACCTCCAACAATCACTACGGGAAGCAAGCAGAGAGACCTGGTCTACTACCCGGTAACAGTGGAATATAATTAATAAATATATAAAAAATATTTAGGTGTAGGTATTATATTATAGGTTAAGGATTTAGAAAAGTTACTTTAAATGTCTTAAAAAAATTAAAAAATATTGAACCTGACCAAATTTATACTATAACATCAGACAATGGTGATAATATCATAGATAATAAAGATATGGATAGGCCATGGCTATATTAATACTGTATGAGGTCGCGTTCTTTTTTGTTGGAGAGAGAAAATATCTTTAAGAATGTTCTCTCTCTTGCATGGGGTACTATTCAAGATGATTTAAGGTTATGTTCAAACTTCAAATAATAATTGCCGCCTGCCGATATAATATTATGAAATATTCTAAATTTCTAGTATGGAATTATAATAATAATATAATATACCTATGACTTTTGAGTTTTGAGTAGTTTTTGGCATTATATTAATGATAAATGTAATAGGCGTAGTTTTAATATATTATTAACTATTATAATAGTATAATACCTAACTATAATAATATTTTGATACCTATTTAAAAATATGGTGCATTCATGTGTTGTTTGTTTCACAAATTCTAAAAACAAGACTGAAGATATTTCTTTCCATCTGTAAGTATTGTAATACACTAATACCTTATTAAATAACCAAGTAATTTACCCTATATTTTGTTAGCCTAAATAAACATCTTGGAATTAAATGTATTTTACTTGTTGTTCTTATACTCACCTAG